ACCGCTTACCCCACGAATGTAAGAACTTACCCCATTTGGAGAAACACCATGGCACACCGCTTCGAAACAAACACTTTTTCTCCTAAATTGTTTCTAAACCTACACATTCCATTGCGATTCAACCTTCTACATGTTGATGGGTTCTAAGGTTTCGTATGCCATGATCCAACCCCCATGGCACACCGATTCTGACCCACATGTTGGCACCACCTTGAAGTTCATACCTCGAGGGTAACCGCCCATGCAGACGCGAAAGTCCTTGCAAAGCAGTTGCGGCAAGCAAATCACACTGTGACACCACACCACGACTAAGTCACGGCAGAGTCCTTGCAGCACTTAGTTTCTGCATGGGACACCGCGTTTCACCAAACAGTCCATCTAAGCCAAAACCATGCTTTCCAAGCACAGTTTACAACCGGACACTGCCACAATGATAGGGTTTGCGCAACAACAGCCAGCAGCAAATGAGTAGGCTTTGTAGCGCAGGCAGCGGCAGCGGCAGCAGCAAGCAGCAGCAAAACAACACCAACAACCCGCCAGCAAGCAGCAACTGGCAGCAGCCAACCACCACATCATCCCATGGCACAGCCGTTTTCATCAATCCCAAGTCACAGTCACAGGAGCAAATCCCACATTGTCCACATGGCACGCCCGCTTCCGATCTCTGCCAGAAGTATGGTAAGACCGCGACAAAACCAATGGTTAGCCTACGTTTCGCCGTCATTGGTGTCTGCGCGCGCGTTCCTATCTTTCAACGACTGCGCAGGACAGCCTGGTGGGTTGGGCAAGATAAAGGGCGAGATGTGGGCGAGGTATTGGGCGAGATGAACACGTTTGCCCAGAAGACCATTGCCCACTAACACCCAAACACAAAAGTCCTTGCAACGCAGCTGTGGCGAACAATCATACACTGGACACCACGCTACGACTAAGGCACGGCAACGTCCTTGCGACACTTGTTTCCGCGTGGGGCACCGCATTTCACCAAAAAAAGGCCTGCCACCAAGATTGAAATCACGTTTCCAATACCCCGTCTGCAATGGAAGAAACCTGCTATAATCATAGGGCGTGCAAGACAATGACAGGCAGCAAATGAACAGGCCTTGTAGCCCAGGCCGCAGCAGCGGCAGCGACAAGCAGCAGCAAGCGGCAGCACCAGCAGCAACCAAGCAGCAAGCAGCAGCACCGGCAGCAATCAGCCACAGCTAGCAGCAGCTAGCAGCTGCAGCAGCCAACCAGCAGCAAACCGACAGCAGCTAACCGCCAGCAGCAGCAGTAGCCAACCAGCCGCAGCAAGGCAGCAGCAAGGCAAACCGGCAGCAGCAGCGAACCAGCAGCAAACCAACAGCAGCAAGCCCAACATATATTGATTACCATAGATTACACCCCTAGAAACGAAACTGTATGGGGACACCGCTTTGCAACGACTTCTCAACAACACTAATCAGACTGCTCCTCACTCATCCGCTTTGATGGAGATGGGGCCTTCTCGAAAAGGCTTCAACTATGGGTTGCCGGGTTGCCAAAAGAAACCTCTAGAAACAAGCTCAAATTCATAGCTATTCGATAGCTTACCCCAATGGTATACTGGTTTGACAGACATTGCAGTGTGAACGCATCAAAGCCAGTGTGCCACGCAGATCTGGCATCAATAAGATGGAGAAGTATGTTGCTCATCTCTTCTAGTTTGCACTGCTTTGATGGCTCCCCCCAATGGCACACCGGCTTCGATATGAGATCTCGACCACGATAGGGGTAAACACAGGCACCCAGTATGTAGAAACAAATGCACGAGGCAAATGAGGCCTGCCCCCTTTCTGTCCCGACATTGGTTGGGAAGCGCAACTTGAGGCTGGTTATATTCCAAGCACTAGTCACAAAAGAAAACAAATACTCAGTATGAAATGACCTAACAATGATCGTCTACACTCCTAGACACAAAACTGCTTGGGGACACCGTTTCGCAACGACTGTTTAAGACAACGGGGAGCACAACCACCCTACAAAGACGCTCACGCTGGTTTTCAACCGGTGGTAAAGTTCCTCACTCAGTTGGTCATCATCAACTGCCTCACCTTCGCCAATTTCTGGCTCACCCTTCTGGTGTGGGTGGGTGGGCAAACAGAAGGAATGCTGCGTGGCTTGAGCCAAAATGGCATTGCCACCCAGCACTCCCCACCCAGTGCTCCAAAAAATTTGTCATGCGGAAAAACTTCGTTTCGCCTTCAAGACAACGGGGAGCACAACCACCCTACAAAGACGCTCACGCTGGTTTTCAACCGGTGGTAAAGTTCTTCACTCAGTTGGTCATCATCAACTGCCTCACCTTCGCCAATTTCTGGCTCACATGCAGTGCGCGAAGTTTGAACACTTGAGGCGTGAAACTGCGCTGCTGTCCAAGCCGAAGGAGAACGAGGAGGAGCCATAAGGCCATCCACATCTGGTATGCCAGGTTGGCACCGGCGAAGCCACTGGGATCCTCTTGTTGGCATGGACGCAGCCCTTGGTGATCACTGTGGGAGGTAGAAGGCCTTGGTTCTTCACTGAGATGTCTTCCCATCTCAAGATGGATTCGTCTAGTTTCTCTTGGGCCTTCTTCAGGTGGTCAATCTCCAGCTTGAGTTTTCTTTCGTACTCTGTGGTCCTCCCTTTTGCCGAAGGTTTGTTGTGCTCGTTTTGTACGTTGCCTGGTGCCTTCGGCTTGTTGAACTTGGCCGTCTCCGGCATTGTTTCAAGGGCTTCCTCGGCATACTGGAGGATGATGTTCGACTTCCATCTGCCCAGATACGCGACTTGAGGGACTTGCCAACCTCTGCGAATGTAGCCAAAATGGCATTGCCACCCAGCACTCCCCACCCAGTGCTCCAAAAATTTGTCATGCGGAAAAACTTCGTTTTGCCTTCAAAAACCTTCAAAAAAAACTAATCACAAATGTAGTGAAGCCAAAAACATGAAGTCGCAACGACACACTTGGGAGTACAATAGCTTGAGACAGAATCAATAGTGTGCCCTTGCGCTTTGGTCGGATTCTCAACCTGCGATCAACAGCAACATATACATACAAAAAGGTAGCCCAATCAAGCTTTCCCCCAAGGGCACACCTCATCTGGCACAAGTTCATGCCATTCGAGGCAAGTTAACCCGAGCACACCCAGTAGGTTGGAGGCCATCGCTCTGAACTTGGAGGCCTTCGTTCTTTGGTTGGAGGCCATCGCTATTAGGTTGGA